TTTTTCGAAGAGAGTTATTGATAGAGTAAGCTTACATATATATATGCGTCAACCAAGAGCTCGAAAACAATAGTGCTCGTGACTGGTGAAGTAGCGGGTACAAAACCAGCGCTACTGGTTTACAACATCAAAGCCAACGTGTCTTACATGCGATCTTGATTGCGTTTCCGTCCAGAAGCGAGGGTTTCCTGAATGTCGCTCCCTCCAATTTCTCCTTTCCTCTCAAACCTGTTTTTAGATTTACATTTACATTAATGATATACAGACTTGGATAGAATTAATATATTGAGGGTAGGTTCATTTACCTCCTGAACAAGGTGTCGCATTATAATAGCAAAATTTATCGTCCAATACATCGTGTTTCCGATAACGTAATATAGCAGAAGTAACATACTGAAAACAGTTCGCCATATTTTCTGATATTTTATTTACATAATTAAGATTTTGTGATAATAATACCACAACAAAGGTGCCCAGTTATAACTTGTAACTAAATCATATCACATAGTGAAGTAAACAAAAAAGGAGGAACATAAAAATGTTTTGACTGCTTGTAGAACGTTGGGGACCTGTGACCAACACGTCAATGAAATATTCCTTTTCCCATTAACATCTGGTTCAATACCAAATGTCCGAGGTTGCTGACCATGACACCATGTAGAATTCGATCTCTGATACTGCTGATCAAAGGCCCGTATTGCAGAATATTTGAATAAGAAAACGAATGAAATGCTAGTACTATAAATAGTGAATGCAACGTTTTAAATTAGATCTTGCAAGGTGAAGCCCATCGCAGGATGGTTTCACCGTTTACAAAGCGATGTAGATCTCTGCTATCCTGCTCGAATAGGTTTTACACATGAAACGACTTTTGTATTTCAATTAAAATTTTCAAAAATGTCTACCTGTGGCTCTTTATAAACACAAAAAACCAATACCATCACTTACAAACCATAATCTTTTCGACATGAAATTCGACAAAAGCACCAGGCACGTTAGGCCATCTTACAGGGCCATCTAACCATCAAAAGTAAATAGATAAATATCATATATTAACAAAAAGAAAATCTGGATTTGTAAGTAATAACGTCTAACTATAGAGACATGTGTAGAATGATACATAGTAGCGAGCGAGTGGTTGGTGACGAACTCTCTACAAGCCATAGGCAAAAATACATTAAACATGTTCAGGTGGAACTACTATGTCTTACAATGACTCATTCCTGGCTATCTTCCATAGTTTACCAAAAGAAAAAAAAGCACCTTTAGTCGGTCGATCTGGCAGGTGTTGTTATTAATGTGGTAACATCATTTAATGTCTTTTTTTCACGAGATGCAGTACTGTTAGACTTTTGTGCTTTGGTGCTGGTGTAACGTATCTTGAACTTCTTTTTCTTGCAAACTGAAATGCATTAACCTGGGCAATATGTCTCACTAGAATAAAATAAAGAATAGGTTTTCTTATTTGAAAACTTATTTCATACTTATTACTATTCAGTGCATATATAAAAAGGTAAAAGATGATTAGGACTCATTGGACAGGACACAACACTCTTCATTGTACTGAATACAAGATTCACTCAAAAACCACCATCTTAAAATTTTTCAAAGATAGAAAGATTCCACTTACAATGACTATAAATCAAGGGCATTCCACAAAATTACTTGAGCCCGAAAATTGTTCCAAACTCTTGAAACCAAAATTTAAACCACCGTGACCCAAGAAAAATCAGTAGTAATATGAAATACTGCACCCAATTTCAAAACAAGAGGGACAATGTTTCACACAAAAACTATTTAAGTGGATTGCTCTGGATTTATCTTCAACTAGACTAGATTTCTGGTTTAAAAACTTAGACCAATTTTTCTTAATATAAGTTTTTTCGTGAAACCCACACCAAATGACTTGCGCGATGTTATCTTCACATCAATTGACTTTGCCTTACTTAACCCTTGTCCTATTTCCTTGGCTTGTCCACTACCCATTACTAGCATACATTTGCCTGCCAAACCAGGCCATGTAGGAATACAAGGCCACAATGATGACAGTAATAGGGATCACAATGACATAGTACACAAGCTGGGACTCTAGGTCCAACTCCAACATTATGCTGGCTGTGGCTATACAATGTAATGAAAAGTCTAGAGGTTTGTGCACAGTTTACACCGTGGAATGTGTGCTTGGATCACCTGATAAAGTTAGCTGGATATCAAAAAGTGGGAATTATCCTTAGCTTCAATAATGACTGTCTTCACTTGAGATCAGTGGTCTATGCTATGGTCTGGGAGTATTATTACTCAACGCAATAATGATTGTTGTTGTCTCAACTCAGTCTCTCCTAACAGAATCAGTCAGACTACTTCACAGGTCTCTGTATTATTTACTTTGTGTCCTTTTTAACTAATCTCTGTGGTCATCAAGACTGCTCTTCCATTGGTTCGTTCCCGCTACAATCTTCAGCTGTCTCGTCTCCTGGGAGTGTATCTGAAAAAAGTACAAATATTATTTAATTACTCAAGCAAAAACTTAAAGGAATGCAGGCCCCGGTTTCACAAAGAATCTTAAATCCGTAGACGTCTTACTCGAGCTGGGTGGCCTAGCTAGGTCGACTTAGCTGAAGTCGACTTGGAGTGTTTCACAAAGAATCTAACGTCTTAGCTTGGCGTGCTTACCGTAGTCGACGCGCACGAGAAACTCTTCAAGAAAAGGAGGTGTAAAATTGCAAAAGTTTCACAAGACATGACGTTTCATGGCCTCTTTCGGCCGAGAACGATCGTTTATCAACGATAAAAGTCAGCCAAAACACAAACAAAGTTTGTTTTTGAACTTTATTGATTAGTTTAACTTCAATACAACTTCAAAGCAACAGTTAAACATTAGCTTGTCTTGGAACACTACTGAGGGACGTCTAGCGGTCAAAAACATAAACAAACACGCGATCGGCTGGGTAAAGTGGAATTTTATTTTTTATTTTAATATTCCATAAATGTCAGTGCTATTCAAGGATATATTATAACACAATATCTTGAAGGAGGTATGTTCTTTTCAAATTTTTGTTGTTTATGCTCTCGTTTACCGAGTTTTAGTTGAGCTTGCCGACTTAAGTCTCCTCCCGAGGAGGCTTGACATCGTCGACTTACAGCTAAGAAAAAAACGACGTAAGCGACCTTTTAGATTCTTTGTGAAACGGGACTTAGTGACGTAACGACTTAATTACGTTGGTAACCAAGCCCTAAGTCAGGGAAACCGACTTAAGTTTTTTTGTGAAACGGGGGCCAGATCTTTAACAGTGACATACTCTCTATCAGACACAAAGACAAATTGAAATTCTGTAANACTAAATCGTTAATTTTTTTTGTGTGTGTGTTTGTGTGTGTGTGTGTGTGTGGAGAGACATCTAAGTACATTAAAAACTTTCAATATGTTTAACAGTTGAAGTGAGTATACTCAGCTATTTTCAGATTTGTCATACTGATGCGAAGGTGTAAGCCATTAACTTTACAACAAAATTATTGAAGAGAGTAGGCCTAATAAGGGAAATACTCATGCATATGAAAATAGTTTATTGCCGTTGTTATTTATTTATGAATATAACATGAACGTGACATCGTAAACACTGTGTTGTCAAGTAAAATGAAGCGTCTGATACAAAGTATCAAATGCGGCATTCACGTGCTTGCTTGCGGTGCGTTCAGTTCACTTTGTTTACACTGACAAGTCAAGGTCAGAAGTGCACAATTTTTCTGTATAATATAACGCAGTTTCAATTTTGATTAGTGAATTTTCTTCAAGCTGTAGACCCTATGGCCATTTTCTGAACTTTTGTATAAGCTACGAAATATTTCTCAGTCCAAATTTCTCTAAGTCCAAATGAGTGGCGTTACGACGCACTTCCGGTTTTCGTCGATATCTAAACTGCAGCAGCACATTCAGGGCGTTCTACCTCAAAATGTGCGCAGCCGCTTTGATTGGAATTTACAACACTTATTCTTTACATGACATAGCACCTACGTGCATAATTTGTGAGCTTTAGCTGTCATACATTTTCTAGTGCCAATTCAAATTGGAAAAGGAGCTATTCCGACGATTTCTTGAAGGGCAAGTCTATGAACGTGCTACAGTTGTCGTATGGAATCATAGTCGACAAACGTTGTCGAAAATCTGTATCGATCATACAGAGTTACAGACAAGTTGATAATGTGTGTTTATCTTATAGATAATTGTTTTATTTCCTCAAATTGATAAAACAGACTGAAGTGTCGTTAGAGACGATTGACGATGCGCTGAAATTGCGCAAATCGTCAAATTACGTAACGACCGATCTACCTTAACGGCATGAATAAAACGAACGTTCCAGACTTAATAAAGATCGCGATTTCCCAAACACCCTTCCTGTTCGAGAACTTCTACGGGAAACACCTTCTGTCGGCAGTTTCAATAACATGATCCGTTATGATCAAAATTAGGAGCACCCAATCAGTTTTACGATTTCCTTTGCAATTTGCAGTAACAGTAAGGTCGGAGATGTGGGAGAGCATTCATTATGCAGTGTGGTTGCTCTCCATACACGTTTATTCTACTGATGGATCTGTCACTGCAATTGAAAGTTTTTCCTTTGTGACTTTGGTAAACCGTAGCCTCGAAACGTCCGAGCCCTGGTTGAGTTTCTACGGTAACTTGATAGAAAAAGCCATTTCCTGCGAAAGCCTTTTCCTCGATAGAAAATTTGGGCACTCGGCCATCTTGATCAGCGGACTTCTCAAATGTCAATACTTTCGCATTATCTGGGGACATTTTGATCGCGGAAATTACTCTTCCTAATGTCAGGCGTGAACATTTATCCCTTTTCTCTTTGGTCATCTTGTTGATTGTTGACACAACTTCGTGCGAAGCCTCAGTGACATCCGGATCACTAATGTTAAGTCTTTCCCACTTTTGACACGCGCACCAATGAGGCTCTATCCCCGCATCTGCGCATGTCCGCTCAAGGGGAATCTCTTCAAATAGACTGATGCCGCGTTTTAGTTTTCCGTCTGCCTCAGTTTCTGACTGCTTATAATTCAACATGTCCATAAAAGTGGCGTGGATATCAAACGGGGATGTCAGGCGTTTCGCATTGATTAGAAAATTTCTATAAGCTTCGGGATAAAGCTTTTGAAATTTCTCCGGAAAACGAAATGAAAAGAACGGCAAGCGTTCTTCCAACTTTCCTTGAAAGGTCTCTCGCAATTTTCCAAAACGACAGCCGTGATCTGACATTAAAATAAGCACAGTTGAGTCAAGATGGCCATCTTTTTCTAGGTACTTTAAAAACTTGGTAAGTTCATCATCAGCGTTTTGAAGTCTTGTGTCCTGACTATTGTGGCTGTATTCGTTATGAAACCCGAGGACGAATTTTGGTTTGTCTGGGTACGCCACAAAAGCATCTTTGAGCCAGTTTAACTGGTTTAGATGGTTGGACATGGAACCAAGACAAAAGCTCTGAAACATGTTTGACATCTCCCTTTTTCTCAAGTAGAATACACGCATGTTGTAGTCTGTAGGTGTTTCATTAAACCCAAGCAATCTATAATGAAACGTCCCAATGGTGGGTTCATCCTCAACCCACTGAGTGATATAGCCATGCCTTTTGAAATCCTTCCAAACAAATGGGAATCCATCAACAGACACAGCGCCAGGCCTGCCGCGCCTGGATTCCGGAAGCTCCTCTTCAGTGAGGCCCGTAAGGATAGGGAGAAAAGCCTGTGTGGTACCGTCACCAACGATGTTGTATCCTTCGAGAACAGTTCCCTTCAGGTTCTTGGTGAAATACTGATAGGTCTTTGGCAGGTGGCGCATCCAAGTTAGACGAGAAACGCCATCGTAGCCTATCATCAGAACACTTAAACCCATAGCGTTCCTCCCCCTTGGCGTGCTGTTGGCACGTGCGAAAAGAGATGCATTGTACGCTATCCCAGACACTAAGTTTGTGTAATTCTCTCCGGTGGTTGGAGAGGTACAGTGTACTTCAGAAAAATCAAACTTTAACGGATCTCCATCAATGAAGTCTGTTTTACTTCCCAAGCGCACGGTGTAGTCATCAATACCTCGCAGTATTGGGACGTAAAAACAATGTATTTTGGTGTGTCTTTGGCGGGCCTTTCGAGAAATGCGATATTTTCCGTTTTCAACGTAGACCCAGTTCGTTTCTGCAGCACGGCTACACTGCACACGATCAGTTTTCGTTATAAACGACATTATTCCTGGTGCAAGTATTTTCAGGTCAGGCAAAACGCAGGCTGAGACGCGAGTCTTCTCGGGGAGAACCTTGGCTATGGTCTGGTTATAGGATTCGTCATGTAGCCAACTGATACCGACATACACAATAATGCATAGTATTGAGAGACTCATGAGAAAGGAAACCTTTCTACAGAAAACTTTCGGTATTCTGTAAAGCAGCAGAGAGAATAAAGATGACTTCATGTCAGCATCAGCGAATCAGTTACCAATGGTTTTGTGAAAGGCAAACGCGAGAATGCAGCGATTTCTGAGAAATGGACCGATTGACCCGTTTCTTCTAAAGGGAATATTAGGACGTTAAAGCTGTTTTTTTAAGTTAATGTCTCACCTTTGTTTCAAAATGACATTTTTGCTCTTTCTCGATCAAATAAGAATTTCTCGTTGTCCCTTGCAATGAAAAATGTATGATTCCGTTTGACACTGTCTATCACCAGTTAGATCCAGATGAGGTGTCCTTGGTTCTTTTTCTGTCCTTTACATATCAATGTCTTTTTATCAATACATATCGATGTCTTTTTATCAATGTATACAGACAACGTAAATCACTGGAGATAGTAACCTAATCCGCCAAGACATGGGTAAACAGAGACAAGGGACAAGTTGCAATACTGTACATGCATGTCATAAGTTGTTGCGCAGATGATGTGCACGCGTCTGGTAGACAACTGTTTTGTAATATATAATCACATAAGCACTGTATGTGATATTTCCATGTGACATGTATGACAATAGCAAAACCCATTTTAGTGATAGATAAAACTGCAAACCTCCTGAGTGACCCTTCCGTTATCTTTCCCAAACCCTGTTCTGCTGACCGAGGCCTCTGGCAAGGTAACTGATTTCTCTTAATCACTTTGATTCTTGTCTGGCAGAAAAGGTTATCCGCAAAAATATATCGTTATCCAAGGTTATCCGCAAAAATATATATAGTTATACTAAAATATCATACTTCGAGATGTACGAGTAAGCCAAAAAATACCGAATAACAAGCGAGCATAGTGTCTGTTCATTTGGACCATTGAGGAGCCATTATTGTTCTATTAAGCGCACGATATGAGGGTGTCACGAGGCCGAAATGGAGATAAGTAGCAAATTACCAGTAGTTTCAGACAGAGTAATGTTAACCCGGGTAGCACTGGTATTAATGTTCCTTCCTTCCGTCATGGGGATATTGATTATAAAAAGGATCCATTCACTGGAATGATTTATTGATAAGGCGCGATTAATTGTACGCAGCCAAGGAGGTTATCTTGATAACATTCAAAATTTCCATTTAACTGCCTTAGTTAATACTCACAGCTTTTAATATGATGAAACACAGTGGGGCGCGGGGCGAAATGAGTTCTTTTTAAGTGTTTTTTTTTTTTTTTTTTTTTTTGATAAATTGCTACAATAAAAAGCAAGAAAAGAATTTGTCAACATCTTTACAAATTAACCTTGAATCCTTGAATATCTACCTGCAATACCGCCATGACGATGACCTACATCAAATGAAAAACAAACCCTTTTAGCTAATGCACATAAAAAGAAAAAATCGTACTGCTTTGATAACATTTTAGCGCTCTTAATTTGAGAATTGAAACTGATGTACATATTAAATCAAACCCAACAGCTTAAGTAGAAAGAATATGAGTTTGCTGGGACTTGAATGAAGAGTATTCCGTAACAGTTTGCACAAAATACACACTTTTAGATAAAACGTGATTTTAAACCTAATATATCCTGTAACACTACTGTGCTTTCGCTTCGTTCAATCGGACAACTATCACAACCAATAACACTTAGGGTAATAATTTGCTATACTAAACGTGACCTTGCTAAAGGGTTTTGAACACCCACGCTAAAGAGAAAATAGAAGATTGCTAATTCTGGCATTTTCGCTCTTTTACTCAAGGTACACTTAAAATAATATGCGCACTGAGTAACTACATATCTTGGCTTTCTTTGCCCCAAATGTGCCTTTAAAAGGAAGCACAAGTGCTGAGCTTACTTGTGTCCCAATTCGGTGAGTCTTTCAAAGTACACTAAATAGTGGGCCTGAGCTAACACCCCATTTCCATAGATTAGATCGACCTACTTTAGATCGACCTAGCTCCCTGGGATTCACGCTAAATAGCTGTCAGCCGGGCGGACACGAAAGTTAATTACCCCTTACAGCTTGTAGTAGGCGGGACGGACATTTAAGTCGGATTATCTGACAGTAATCTGAGACTCCCCGCGGGGATAGATCGATCTAAAATCTATGGGAATAGAGCCTAAGATCTAAGATATCTTGGTCGGGATCCTAGGCCTAAGTATGTTTTAGGATCCCTTCATATTCGTTCATATGTTGTGGTTAATATTCATGCGACCCACTAGTACTGTATGCAGGTATTATAATTTATTCATTTAAGCCCGCTATGTGTCGTATCCTAGCCTATGGGAATTTCTCAGAACAGAAATCCTACAGTGGAAAAAAGCAGCGTGAGAAGAGAAATTTGATTAGTTGGTTAACGAGCACGACCGACCCGACCCTAGTGAAATCGATTTTAGCACCTCATTCTTCATAATCGAAAAAATCGTTTATTAAAATTGCTACCGACCTTGCTTTCTACCTGCAGTGTTCGTTAAACATCATCTATTATTAAAAAGAAAAGAAAAGTTTAAAAAAGCCTACTAAATCTGTTTTAAGAGAATCTCAGCTCGTAAACCAACCTATCATTTTTGTCTGTCCTGACTGTTCACAGTGAATCGATACTGTTATAAGTGAGTGTAACTTTCCGTGTGCGTGCCACGTTCCGGGAAGGAAGGCGGTGCCATCTAACAGTGAATGAGGATGCCCTCTTTCACAGAACGATTGAGACAGTATCATTTATTAATCGTCAAATAACATTGATTCGTTGTAATTAATAGCAACGACTTTATGAATTATTCTCGGAATCGACATTTCGTCGGCATAGCCTGTTGGGCATGGTCAGGTGGACACCCTTGACACCCTTGACGTCACGACCCCTTACCTAGAGTCATATAGCCACTCACGTGACCAAGTCGGACAGGTAAATGATGAATTTATATTATCTACTGGGACCAATATATAGCAGACGTATTATCCAAAACTTGAGACAGAAAAGCACTCGGTACAGAAAAGGAAACAAGAACATGTCATCAGGGTCTTTCTGAGAGCAGCGGCAAACGAAAAACGGAATAATATATTTTTCTTGGAAAGAGACATTCTAATTTGATCGAACAAACAGGACAGTTTATTTACTTGTAGACATTCTGCAACAAAGGTGAGCCATTTATTTTCTCCATAAAAAAGGCATCGAAGCACAAACTTGTTCATTTCTTACAAAGCGCTGAAAATAAAGTTTTGCCTTTCACAAGGCCGCTTTCATACATTTTTAACAAGCAGTCAGCGGTTTGCTTCTTGGCGTTGACATGAAGTTCGCATCATTCTTTATGCAACCTAACAGAATACCAACGGCATTATGTAGGAAGTTTTACCTTCGTATATGTGCGGCAATACTATTAATTGTTATTTACATCGGTGCCAGTTGGCTATTGGACGAATTCACTGCCATGGCGCCAGCTAATAAATCAAACGTCCAAGCTTGCGTTCCGCCTCATCTTGAACTATTTCCTCCAGAAATAACGACCTTTGGATTGGAACCGCGAACTGTACAGTGTACCAGCAAAGAAAAGAACTGGGTCTTCGTTGAAAATGGAAAATATCGCATTTCTCAAAATGCTCTCCAAAAACACGGCCAAATACTTTGCTCATATATTCCAATACAACGGGGTATTGATGACTACACTGTGCGCTTGGGAAGTAAAACAGACTTCATTGATGGAGATCCGTTAAAGTTTGATTTTTCTGAAGTACACTGTACCTGTCCAACCACCGGAGAGAATTACACAAACTTAGTGTCTGGGATAGCGTACAACGCATCTCTTTTCGCACGTGCCAACAGCACGCCAAGAGGGAGGAACGCTATGGGTTTAAGTGTTCTGATGATAGGCTACGATGGCGTTTCTCGTCTAACTTGGATGCGCCACCTGCCCAAGACCTATCAGTATTTCACCAAGAACCTGAAGGGAACTGTTCTCGAAGGATACAACATCGTTGGTGACGGTACCACACAGGCTTTTCTCCCTATCCTTACGGGCCTCACTGAAGAAGAGCTTCCGGAATCCAGGCGCGGATGGCCTGGCGCTGTGTCTGTTGATGGATTCCCATTTGTTTGGAAGGATTTCAAAAAGCATGGCTATATCACTCAGTGGGTTGAGGATGAACCCAACTTGGGGACTTTTCATTACAGATTGCTTGGGTTCAATGAAATACCTACAGATCACAACATGCGTGTATTCTACTTGAGAAAAAGGGAGATATCAAACATGTTTCAGAGCTTTTGTCTTGGTTCCATGTCCAACCATCTAAACCAGTTGAACTGGCTCAAAGATGCTTTTGTGGCGTACCCAGACAAACCAAAATTCGTTCTCGGGTTTTATAACGAATACAGTCATAATGTCGAGTACAGAATACTGCAAAACGCTGATGATGGACTTGTGGAGTTTCTAAAATTCCTAGAAAAAGATGGCCATCTTGACTCAACTGTGCTTATTTTAATGTCAGATCATGGCGTTCGCTATGGAAAATTGCGAGAGACTTTTCAAGGAAAGCTGGAAGAACGCTTACCATTTTTTTCATTTCGTTTTCCAGAGAAATTTCAAAAGCTTTATCCCGAGGCTTATAGAAATTTCGTGACCAATGCCCAGCGTTTGACAACCCCGTTTGATATACATGCCACATTTATAGACATACTGAATTATAAGCATTCAGAGACTGAGACAGGCGGGAAACTAAAACGCGGCATCAGTCTTTTTAAAGAAATTCCCCTTAATCGGACATGCGCAGATGCAGGTGTGGAGCCTCATTGGTGCGCGTGTCAAGAATGGGAAAAACTAACCACAAGTGATCCGGATGTCATTGAGGCTGCGCGCGAAGTTGTGACAACGATAAACACTATGACCAGTGAGGAGAGGGATAAATGTTCAGGTCTGAGTTTAGGACGAGTAATTTCAGCGATAAAAATGTCCCCAGATAAAGCGAAAGTATTGACATTTGAAAAATCTGCTGATCAAGATGGCCGAATGCCTCAATTTTCCATCGAGGAGAGGATTTTCGCAGAAGATTGCGTGTTCTATCAAGTTACCATAGAAACTCAACCAGGGCTTGGGCGTTTCGAGGCTACGGTTTATCAAAGCACAAAAGAAAAAACCTTTAATTGCGCTTATAGCTCCATCAGTAGAATAAACATGTATGGCGAGCAACCGCACTGCATAATGGATGATTTCCCACATCTCAGACCCTACTGTTACTGCAAAGAGCAGAAAACATCAAATATGAAACTGCGCAGATAACTCCTCGTCATGATCTTGTTCCTAGCACACCATGCTAAGTGTAGTTGTGTTGAATTTCAATACAAAACTGAATTCTGTTACGTTGAATCACTTCAATCAATAGATTTTGAGAAATTGTGTTTTTATTTTTTTTTATTTGATTATTATTATTTTTATTTATTTATTTACTTATTTTTTGCTTCGAAATCATGATCACTGGTATGACCAAACGTTGCACTACGTGCAGTGCGCCAAATTAGATTATCATAGGTGTTGGTATTCCCATTTTGGGACCTTTGCAGACTTTCAGATGAGGACAGTGGACTGTTCTGATATAAAATACAATATTAGAAAATAAATTGAAAAAATGGTTTCTAGCGTTTGGATTAATGAAAGATGATCCGCTTATTGATTTATTTTTATTTTTATTATTATTTGTCGGTTACGGCAAATATTTTTTGTCTTAGGTTGCACGGCATTCGAAGTGTATTCTAAATATTCTGACTGCATTCTGACAGCATTATCGATATTCCTAGTTTTCTAACTACATTCGAGCTGCATTTGAGAGCTAATACACCCGAAATGTGCACGAATCATTCCAGGCGGATTCAAGCGCATTAATCCAACGGTATTCTTACAAGTATTGAAGTCAATTTGAACTTTCTTCTCGAGTGTGGTACGAATTTTGAAAATTATTCATTCCGGCTCACTATTCTGTTTGATTCCTGCCGATTCCGAATAAGTGTGACGGGAGCTTCAGCAAAAACTGACATTAATCTTAGTCGACTAAAGTACGATTCTCAAGGAATATATATATATAAATATATATATATGTATAACAACTGCTCATCGATTTCATTTTTTAACGCTCTAAGACCAATATCACATCCATCTACACGTAGTTTTTATAAAAAAAAAAGTAACATTGCATTTTTTTTTTTTTTTTTTTTTTGTAGTTAGAGAGCTTATAAATGTAAAAATATTCTTGTGCTCAATGAATTATTGTCTTCATTTTTATCACATGACTTTGCGTAGTTGGCTTTTAAAGTATAGCAGTCTCAGGTAAAGCACCAAATCTTTACACGTTTTCTGAATGTAGGGCCCCGATTTGGTAGTGCACGCTTTTAAAAGTGCCAATTAGATAACTAATAGTAAGTGAGGCGATTTACAGTTTATTTTATGTCTCTTTTAGAATTCGTTCATTCTTATTTGTTTTAAATTAATCGTAGTGGTTTTAGAATTCAATGTGTGTAAACAGGTTTCATATCGCTGTTTAAAACATAAGTTTTTATTTTTTATTATCCGTATACTCTTCTCATTTCGTTTTTGGGGGCGATAGAGCCGCCGCAAGATAACATCCTATGCATTTTTCATTGCGGTTTTTGTAGCATCATGAGTGAATACGGGCTAAGGCAAAGATGTTTAAATCATATATTGGGGCTTTATCAGTTCTCCCGCATGAACGTGCAATTGATGTCAAATATAATCGGATAAAAATCGGGTGCTCAATCTCCGTGCAGTTGCGCACACCCTCCGTATGGCTTAAATTTACTGCTGATTAATACACGTTGTTCGTGCAGCTCTTGCGCTTTTCTGAGCATCCACGTGCACGTGGTCGTAATGATACATAAAACTTCAAGTGAAATTTATTAATTGTTAACATATTTACTGCGAGTGTTCATATGCCTCCTAAAACCATCAAATCGGTAGCAATTCTGACAACTCCGAGTCGCAAGATAATCTTGCTTTGCTGTGCGCTCTGTCCCCGTACGTGAATTGGGCAATGCCATCCATCATATTGTTACTAGCTTTCGATTAAAAAAATTCTCAAGTGCTGTAGCACACGATAATCAATAAATAACTACGGGCTACCCCACGTGACTGTAAATATGAATTTTGTTTTAGGCAACTAGCGACCGTTCTTGACGTGTTCAGCGTCTGTGATGGGTTGTCAACGTCATACGAGCTGCTCTGTGTTGGCACTGCCTGGTGTCTCGAACAGATGCCTCACTCCCTTAAACGGGTTCTGATAGTTCGTTCATTAATGGCAGTGTCATTGGACCTTTTGGGGTTCTTTGTCACCCTCTACTAGGGCGGCAGGGGGTTTAGGGCGGCAGCCCCCCCCCCCCCCCCCCCCCCCCCCCCCACACACACACTTGGCGTGGGGTGCCTGAAAATTGGTATTTTAGAGGGCGAACGGTGCCATTTGGTACGGTTTAGAACTATGATTCAGCAACTCAAAATTCTAATTTCAAGAGGGGACCAGAAATCAAAGGGGGGTCAGGAGCCCCCTGAGCCCCCCCCTTCCAAATACGCCACTGATTATTACTATCATTATTATTGTTGTTGTTTTACTTATTTATATGCAATTGCTTTGAAGTAATAACATGGGTTAAATCATATATAAAAACATTTATTATCGAATGCGCAGAATGTTCCATATAATAAATTATATGTAAAATAACACTATCTGCCGGCATAGGGGTTAATTATTCATATCGAAATAAAGCAGTTTTCGTTGTTTTTTTTTTATCAATATATGACATAAAAGCGTCATATTTAAAATATTCAATTTCTCTTTTAAGAGAAAAGTGGCTGAAAGTTGAAAAAATGTACTGCTGAAAATAATGAGATCAAAAGATGTCCAATAGTTTCGTTCACCAGAACTTATTTCAATAACTAATATAATGTAGATGACTTGTCCTGTAAATATTCAATAAAAAGACACAGCATTTCGAATGGTACTGGTAGAAAGGATAAGATACAAAAAAGAAAATAAACGGGATCGGAATCAATCTACTTTGTGCATTTCGGGTCAATAGTTTGCTTACTTTGCCTTGAAGAGTGTAAAGATAAGTAAGTCACGGCTTTAAAAAAGCACCCTTTTAACAAATGCCACCCATAACAGAATGAAAGAACGTTGTTTCGCACCTTTCAGACCCTGATAACTGCAATATTTTGACACTTTGGGCGTATTCACATAGATTTTAGATCGATCTATCCCCGTGGGGAGTCTCACTAGATTACTGTCAGATAATCCGGCTTAAATGTCCGTCCCGCCTACTACAAGCTGTAAGGGGGTAATTAACTTTCGTGCCCGCTCGGCTGACAGCTATTTAGCGTGAACCCCCAGGGAGTTAGGTCGATCTAGTTTGGATCGATCTAATCTCTGGGAATGGGGTCTTTGTCTCTCAGTCTGGCAGTGACACTTGGTGGGTCTGAAATCTTGCTCTTACTTTACATATCACATCTATTAATTAAAAAATATATTTCTAAAATCACAAGAAAAATATATATTACGTGTATAAAACATTTCCCTTTGAGGTAAGTAAATAGTTATAAAGGGAGAGCAATTAATTTCATTAGACAATCAAAGCATAGGAATATAGCATAACACGCCTATGCTATACTTCATTAAAAAAACGGATCACAGGTTTAATAAAATCAAACATTAATTCAAATGTAAAATTTCCAATGTAGTTAAATAATGCTTGACGTCTCTAACAAGACAAATAAGAATTTAAACAGAATAACATCAGAGATATCCATTCCACTATAAAGACTAATAATAAAAAACCAAATTTCAATCAAACAATAAAAAAGATATGAAGTTTGATCTATAATAATTAACGTTTCCCACAACAAGTAAAACTTTGAGCCCTTCTCAATGAATGATGAATTAAATAATGAGAATAATAAATGCATATAAAGGAATATACAGATTTTTTACAAATTAGCGTGGATGCTCTCTTGAAACAATGCACTGTCCATGTAATCGATTTAAATTATTTTTGCACAAATTTATATCAACGTTATTTCACCAAACAACAGTCGACGATCTTCTGTGTGATCGGTCAGATCTGTCAGTTCCTCCACGCGAATACCCTCCCCACGTTGCCTCTGTACTAGTCCTGGGTCTCCGGGGGGTTGGAAGCTGTGGTTGTAACAGCCTCTGTGCGCTGTGGCCTGTAGCATTCCAAGCAGTTTCTTCTGCTTCGGGTTTCACACGTGGGACGGGGCGGGGCGTTCGCTGATTTTTTCCGTATCGATGTAGCAAATTTGACATTCGCCCCCCTTTGTCTAATGCCGCATTTTCTTCAGCTTCCGGTTTCACGCGCGGTGGTGCGCGTGCAGACAGGGGGAGTCTCCCGTAACTGTGCAGCAAATTTGACATTCCTTTTCCTTTGTGGTTTTCAGCCGTCTCTTCAGCTTCGGGTTTAACTCTAGGTGGAGATCTTGCCGACAGAGGGAGCTTTCCATATTTATGCATCAGATTTGACATATTCCCTCCCTTGTGATGCTCGGCAATGTCGTGCGCTTCAGGCTTTACCCTGGGGACAGGCGTATGCTCCCTGGGGCCAGAACTTGGAAAATTGGCCGATTTCCCCAAAAGATCCCCCATGTGCCCCGTCTCGTGGTCTTGTCGGAGCATTTTGGATTCCGGCGACGGGCAGCGCCCTGGGGGTCGTGGTGAGTTATAACTTTTATTGGCCTTCTGATCGAACCACGCCCCCACCGTTCCCAGGTGCTTTTTGTAAGACTCTGAGGCTTCTGGCTTGACCCTGGGGGCAGGGCGTGGCGAGCTGTAATTTTTCATAGAGGGGTCCCTGGTGTGGTGGGCCGGAATTGGACCCTTGGTCAGCGTGGTGGTCATTGTATTGTCGTGACCTTTCACTCACTTTGCTGACCTACGACCCTCTGTCTTGTTACACATGTTGGGTATATGCATGATGATGCTGAAAAAGAAACAAGAAGTATGACATTCACTATCATTCTTGTCACAGCGGCATACAGTCACCCTGAGCTTCAGAGATAACTTGACACTAACCTCTTCACAATAGCCTATCTTCATCGTGTCAAGTTACCTCTGACCACATTCGATTGCCCCCGCCGCCCGCCAATCAAATTTAAAGCCCGCACTCAATGACTCATTGAACGATCTAGCCAATGAACGCAAACGAGTCAAAGCGCGCTTTGTTCAACTCCGGACCAATCAAAGATAAGGCTGAATATCAGGGACTTGCCGTAACCTGTGGGCAGCACGCAAAATACATCATCCCTCAGTAGATAAT